AAAGTGAGAGAAAAAGTTACTACCAGTATCAGGCAGATTGAATATGTACTGAAGACTTCTTTGCAAAGCCAGTTTTCTCATTCGTAATGTTCTGGCTCTCCTAAACCTGAATCAACACATTATAGGAAAGCCTATTTGGGTTCTGAGGAGAAAATAAAGACATTTATGTACTACAGCTGTTATTCAGCAGCTCTCTAATTCCACTGTGACTATTTTAGTACAATTGCAGTTATTTCACAATCATGCATTTCTAGAGTATGAGTGAAGTGGATTCAGATCTGCATTTGAAACCGAGGCCTAATCTCTCTCCTAGAGTCAATGATATTATGAGGTCAATGCAAAAGTAACTATAGTTTTGCCATTTTAATTGTGACGTAACCCACAATTACTTTTGCACCAACCTTTGTCAGTTCTAAATGTAGAACTTAGTGTTAACTTAATGACATAAGTGAACACAAACACAGTGCTGACTTCAAAACCGTTGACTCTACCAAGATGCATGACCTGTAAGTGATGGTTTCCTTAAATCTGAGAAAATTGCTTCTAACATATGGATCCCAATTACTGTGGATGAAATTTCATGGCATAAATATACTAATGAACTTAAAATAAAATAACACGGTCTTCCCTTTACCATGTAGACCATGTTAGTTTTTCCTACACTATGCTCCCATACTACCTTGTACTTCCTTGTTGTAATACTGAAGACTATAAGATCTGAGAAGGAAAGAGAGGGTGATCATCTTGTTCTCAATTGTAGTTTTAGAGCCTAGACAGTGTGTGCCATAAATAATAAACATTTGCTGAATATACATTATGAATACATTAATTTTATTTTAGAGCTCTGTTACTTTAATTGGTACTAAATAATTTTTGCTAATTTTCCCAACATCCTAGCCATCTCTGTCCTTCCATTTAATGTTAAACATAACTTTAATGTTTAACATTAAAGTTAAACATTGGATTTGGTTCCTTTGTGCCTTCAAAGGGTATTGTAAGGCATTTATTTGCTCCTCTCCATATCTGATTGAGAGCAGCACTAATTTTATTTCATAGATGACAAGCCTGATGCAAAATCTTCTATATCTGGTCCTGAAAAACAAGCACAATCTCTGAATAATAAAAATGAAGGTGGGGCCGGGCTCCATGGCTCATACCTGTACGCTCTGCTTTGGGAGGCCAAGGTGTTAGGACTGCTGGAGGCCAGGAGTTGCAGACCAGTCCGGGCAACATAGTGAGACCCTGTTTCTACGAAAAGAAAAAAAAATAATTCGGCAGGCTAGTGTAATCCTAGCAACTTGGGAGACTGAAGCAGGAGAACCACTTGAGCCCAGTAGTTTGAGCCTGCAGTAAGTTGTAATCACACCACTGACTCGACCTTGGGTGATAGAGCAAGATACTATCTCTTAAACAATTAATAATTTTTTTAAATGAAGGAGAATACTCAAGAAATCTTGATTTTTGATTTCATTTGTAATTTCTTATAAGGAAGAGCATCTTAAAATGCTTACTGTGGAGGCCAAGGACTTTGTAGATATGCCTTTGCACATATACACAAAAAATTAAAATCTGACAATGAAAATGCACTTAAAGAATCATCCAAAGTTAAAAAAAAAAAAAGTACACGTAGAGAAGCATACTGTCACACTGAGGTGGTCATGGTCATTTACTAAAGCCTGCTCTGTTGGCATTCCAAAGCATGTTATGATGGCACAGAGCTGAATAATAAAAATCTGTACCCTTACGTGAAAAATAAAATTCAAATAAAAGAAGGCACATGAAGAAGTAATTTAAAGTCCCCCATTAGTACATTTATTTACAAATCAATTGGCCAAAGATAAAAGGTATTGCAGAGCTTTCCTTACTCATTTTTATATAACTTCATAGAAGATAGGTTTGTTACTTTGTAAAAGCATTGCACACAAACAAAATAGAAAAAACGTTTTAAGCATTTAGTCCCATTTTTATTATAGCATCAATCTGAAAAATAATGTGACACACAGGAGCTAAAGCTTCTATTAAAATGGTTACTTTTATCTTTAGACATGGCAGCTACTGCATCTTCATGTGTCACAAACTCTACATCTGCTTCTCCTGTGGCTCTGCCATCAGCTCCAATATCAATATGAACTCGTATTGGATTTAATGGTGAGAAGAAATTAGCAATTTCATTTTCAGTTGCACGAAAAGGCAACCCTCTGATATGTACGAAATGACCACCATGAAAACCTGAACTTGCATCACCAGCTCCACCATAGCCATGCCCTCCCATACCTCTTCCATCTCTCATTCTGTCATCAAAGCCATCATTCCCATAGCCATAATTATTATAGCCGCCATAGTCATCAAAACTTCCATAACCACCATCATATCCATCACTTCCTCGTCGCATTCTGTCATACATACTTCCACGCCCAGCTCCATAATAACCCCCTCTTCCTCCTGTTGGTCTATCATATGGTCCCGGTCACTGTCCCAGCAATCTTCTTGGTGGATCATAAAATCCTTTGATTTCACTCCTGCTACTTCTGAAGATCTCAATATACCTGTCTTTCCTTGTGTTTCCCCAGAGCATTTTCTGCTATCTCCTTTGAAGCAAACTGCACGAAAGCCTCCCCTGTGCTTCTCCCCTGGTAGTCCATCGTCAATGTTATCCCATTTGGCACGATTTCCATCCCTTTAAAGAACTGAACTATTTCCTCTTTGCTGCAACCAAATGGTAGTCCACGAAGTCGTACTGTCCCATCACTAGCATCATTTGGACCATTATGTTTCATAACCCTATCCATCTCAATACCGTTTGATTTAAACACCTGTCAGGCGATAGTTAGGCCGGCTCTGGTGCTCACAGGGTCCAATCGAGAGGATCGAAAAGTCGTTTGCCTCGTGTAGCGCCCGCCACAATGGTTCCCCCAACCGTCTCTGTTGGTGGCAACCGCTTAGGGAGCTACGCATGCAACATCGATACATTGAACTCTTCTTGAATTCTACTCCTGGAGGTGGCTCTGGCATGGGAGGTTCTGGAATGGGAGGCCATGGAAGAGATGGAATGGATAATCAGGGAGGTTATGGATCAGTTGGAAGAATGGGAATGGGGAACAATTACAGCGGAGGATATGGTACTCCCGATGGCTTGGGTGGTTATGGCCGTGGTGGTGGAGGCAGTGGAGGTTATTACGGGCAAGGTGGCATGAGTGGAGGTGGATGGCGAGGGATGTACTGAAAGCATAACCGCCAACATAGAGGTCTTGACAACAGCATCTGGTCTACTAGATTTCTTACAGATTTAATTCCTTTTGTATTTTAAGAACTTTATAATGACTGAAGGAATGTGTTTTCGCAATATTATTTGGTAAAGCAACAGATTGTGATGGGAAAATCTGTTTTCTATAGGTTTATTTGTTGCATACTTTGACTTAAAAATAAATTTTTATATTCAAACCACTGATGTTGATACTATTTATATACTAGTTACTCCTAAAGATGTGCTGCCTTCATAAGAGTTGGGTTGATGTATTTTACTATTAGTTCTACAAGAAGTAGTGTGGTGTGATTTTAGAGGATAATCGTTCACCTCTGCCTAAACTGCAAGTCTTAAGCAGACATCTGGAATAGAGCTTGAAAAAACAATTAAACTTTTCTTTAATTCCTCCTGGACAACACTGTAAACATAAAGCCCGAAGATGAAGAGGCTTCAGGAGTATAAATTCAGCTAATTATTTCTATATTATTATTTTTCGACTGTCGTTTATCAGGCATAGCTCTGAAATGTTGATGATCTAAGAGGTATTGATTTCTGAATATTCATGATTGATTGTGTTACCTGGGTATGGGAGTGTTGGAAGCTTGAATTCTAGCCCTAGATTTTCAAGTAAAATCCCTTCAGCACTTTACCAGAATACCAAAACTATCACCAAATAAGTGATAATTGCAAGTTATCTCAAGATGTCTTAGAGTTAAGAACCTTAGGGTTAAGGTTCTCAGTGACACAAGAATTCAGTGCAAGTACTAGGCTATTTACTATGGAGTACAATTCTCACAAATGTATTTTCAGTTTTCTCCCCAATAGAATATATGGTTTTTAAATAACTATATAAATAAATGATGACTTTTTAAAAAAATGTAAGCAACAAGTCCATGTCATAGTCAATTAGAACAATCCTGCAGTTGGGTTTTGTATCTGATATCTGCTTGGAGTTTTAAAGAATACATGTAGCAAGGAAAAGGTGCTTTTTAATTTTAATCCCTTTGATCAATATGGCTTTTTTCCAAATTGGCTAATGAATCAAAATGAAACCTGTCGATGTAAATTCAGTTATTGAACTTGTTACTTGTTTTTGCCAGAAATGTTATTATTATAATAAACCTCAATGTGGGAAAAAAATAAAAAATAATAAAATAAAATGGTCACTAAAATATATTCAACTATGTGTTGCGTAGATGAGTCCTGATGCTGAAGTTATGCCAGGATATTCAAATAGGGTTGGACAAGCCACACAAAAATTCTCTTTCTATTTCTAGTTTGGAAATTATCTGTGATTCTAATGGCCTAGAGTAGTATAATTCGCATTTCATAGTGAACGTAACTAGGTTTGTTAATCAAAATAAACATATTTATTATATGATTATTTGAAATGAAAATGCACATGTATGTTTGTTTATAAAAGAAACCTCATTAACTAAGCATATTCCAATCACAATATGATACCATTACCTGATAGCTTTAATAAGTGGAACAAGTTCAGTTTGGCATGTTAGGGTTCTAGTGTCATAGAACTCACACTACAGATACATTGTGGGTAATGACACAAACTAAGTCTTTGAATATAATATGCTAAGAATAAACATCTGTAAAACGACTGGTGAAAAAATTTTAAATTTCTAACAAGCAAAGGCACTGATATATATAGAGTATATAAATTACTATTTTAAATATTTCTTGATATAAAGAATATTAGAAATATATATCCCTATAAAAGAAGTGAATTCTTAGACTGATTAGGCACATGAGCATAAACTTACTCTTAATTGAAGCTTATCAGTGATGGTGTATGACAGTTCATATACTCTGGCATTGATTTAATTTTAGTGTTAATGTTTCTACCACCTCTTTCAAGCTTTTGATTCAGTTCAATTGAAAATAGTTCTGAAATTGCAAAACGGACCATTTAGACGCTGGTACTATTTGTAAGTATTTAATTGTACATTCTAACACTGTCAAATCAATAAAATATAAAAATAAATTCCATGATGAGACTGATAAAAACTTCAATTGCTATTTACAATTCCAGTTTTAAAGTGTAGGTGTTATTCCAAACAACCAGATCATTCTCAATTTACTTAGAACAAGTTAGTGTTGTAAGTTATATGCATAATTTTACACATAGACATATGAAAACTATATACTTTGTAATTTGCAACTCCACATAATATTTCAGTCTTTAAAGGTTTATAATTGATAAAAAATGGTTGAGAACCACTAACCTGATCAGAACTCCTTTTTGACAGATGGTGTAAGCAAGGTTGGAAGACAAAGATAATGTGAAATGTCAGTGAGTTGGTGCCTCTGGCCTTCTCCAAGTCTTTAATATGCAAAATTAATTGTGAATTTCCACCAACGATGCCATTTTATTGGCTTAGTTTGGGATCCTCCAGAAGCTGACCATGAGAAGAGGATTCAAATGCCAGTGGTTTTTGGAAGAGGTGCAGAAAACAAAGGTAGAGAATGGAAAAGTGAAAAAGGAAGAAAAGATAGGCAATCAAGGGTGTGTTATCAAGTCAGCAGCTACTGAGGGCAACTGGAGCATAATTCCTCAGGGAAATGCTGAGACACAGCTTAGACTCTATACCTTAGATCCATTCAATCTGAGGGGCAGGAAAACTCTGGATTTACATAACAACTGCTGTCAGTCATTGGAAGAGTTTTGCTGCAGAAGTGGGTGAATTCTGGGCACTTCCAGAACAGGCAGTGGGAAGTCAGCTCCAGTCTGCAAGTGGGAAGGCCTGAGGAATCCCTGCAGAGCCTCAAGAGTAGCTGCTATAAGTAAATTGTGTTTCCCACACTGAGTTGATGGCAGAACTCCTTTATTTATGCAACACTGAATAACTTCCATGAGAAATTTAACATTTTAGAAACACTGCAGTCACATAGTGAATGGATCCTATAATACAGTGTTTTCATATATATTGTCTAACTTGTGTCTCAGAAACCTATGTATTATCATTTCCATTGTACAGATAAGAGAAACTGAGGTCTAGATGGGTTAATGATTATTGGTAGACACAGGGAGCAAACAAGCTTCTGTTCACAAGACTCAAATTATTAAGAACATGAAACTTGCTTCTTTTAGAAAATCTATTATCAAGTAACACATAATAACCTAATATTTAGAGTATTTTTTGTCTTTCTATTCATGAAGCCTTCATAAAGAACTTTTGTTCTAATAAATGACCCCACCACCACTATCATATACACAGTTCTGGAAAATTAGTAAATTTAAAATTACTTTTCAGACGACTTCGAATTCCATGGTTACTGCAAAGACAGTGAAGCTTGCTGTCACTTTTATGTACTATGCTGTCTATAGTATTACCAATAGGTACCTGAGCTTTATAAATTTAAGCTTTTATGTGGCTTCTATATTTTGCAGTATAGGATCACAATTTATAATGATATGATGCATTGTTATAGAAATTGTCAGCTAGCAAAGTCTAAATATATTTTAAAGATTTGCAGTTTCTATCTGTACTGCAGGAAAACAAAATGTCTTCAAAAGCATATAGATCTATGATTTGAGTCTTTTAAAACAATATTTGAGTACTTGCTATGTGCCCAGCCCTGCTCTAAGTAATTTATGGGTATTAACTCATTTGTCCTCAGAACAGACCTCTGTGGTTAGTAGGTTACCATCTACCTATGTAACAGATGAGAAAATGGGAAAAATGAAATTAGGTAACTTTCTAGCATATACAGCTTATATGTGGTAATGACAACATATGAACTCACAAAATCTAGCTTTATAAGCCACACTCAGATGTTTTGACCTACTAGATTTACTACAAAATTGCTCAGCATATTAGCCCACTAAGAATTACTTGGTTTGCATTCTTATTTGATAAAGGTAAAGAAAAGTATTTCCAAAACTTCTAAATTTATCATTAGATAAAACATCATTTAAAAATATGCTTACATTTTGCATAATTACTTCCAACGGCCCTCACCCAAACTATCTAAGTAGTATTTTAATTTCCTGAGTTATCCCTAACATTTTACTCTCAAGAGCTTGTTTAACATTTCACTTACTGAAATAAAATCTTCACATGCATGGTCAGAGTTGCATATGGAAAATGAGAAAGAGGGAGTGCAAGAAAGAGAATACAGATTCTCAGACCTAACTTGAAAGTGTTACTATGCTGAAAGTCATTCCTGCTACACTAAAACAATGGACATTATTTTCAACACAAGCATATCTTTAACAGATGCTCATCTGAAAGTGTTTCATGTTGGTTTGAGATATGGGAATTCACATATTAACTGTTGCTTTGTAATTGTTTCCCTATTGACTCAACCTTCTAATGTGCTTTACCTCCTTTCTGAGTGATTGAGGAAGTAGCTGAAACCTTACACCTGGAAGTACAGCAGCACACCATTGTAAACCAAAGCTTCCTTTAATAATAGTGATACCAAACCTATGGTCAATAACATTTTTGCTTGTTTGTATTCTGTAGTCTCATAATTTTGCATTTAACATTTAGGCGTATGATTTATTTTTGAAAAGACTACTCTTTCTTTATTGCCTTTTCTTTTCTGTCCTAGATCAGTTTACCATGTTTGTCTGAGTCCACATGTATATATGAGCTCTGTATTATGTTCCATGGATCTATGTATTTACTCTTTCACCAAAACCACATTCTGTTAATTAGTTTTATAGCAAGCCTAGAAGTTGAGAAGCTTGAATTCTCTAAATTAGGTCTCCTTTAGTATTTTGTTGGTTGTTCTAGGTCTTTGACCTTTTCCATATGAACTTTAGAAAAAGTCTGATAATATCTACAAAATATCTTGCTGAATTTTGCTTGAAGTTTTGTTCAATGTACAAACAAAGTGGGAAACGTTAGATGTTAGAAATATTGAATCTTTCAATATACAAACATGGCTCTATTAAAACTATTATTTTTGATTGATAAAAAAAGAATAGTGATACATTTTTAGTTGGACAAAGCAGAAATAAGCAGAAAAGAAGATTTGATAGGAATCCTACAGCCCCACAACACTACACATAAGAGTAAGGAGGCTGCTAACAGAAAGGTTTGGGAAAATAACCGTTTCAAGAATATGGAAGGAAACACTGAAAAATTCCAGACACCAATGCATGAAAAGCTCATGACACCAAGATCTCTCAAATAAAACCATATTAGCATTGAGATAAACATGCACACTATACTTAAAAAATGAAGGGCAACAACATAAATTACAGGGTGATGAGGTAACTACTTATGCAGTGACATCATGTCAGTAAATGATGTCAACATTAACGTCAGTGATTGACCAGCGTTCTACCAACTGGCACATCTTATCCTACAATTGCTCATAGGTCTAATGAGTTGCCAACATCATCAAGGACCAGAGACAGCATGGGGTACTGTTTACTTCTGAGAGGAAGGAATGAAAAAGGTAGTTCAATATTCAATCAATGTGGTTGATTTTCACTCTGCTTCTCCAAAAAAAAGAGAACCAAATAGTCATCTAAATATGTAGATAATGTAAAGTGATTACAAATGTGAACAGGCTTCTTGTGTGTGTGCACGTGTGTGTGTGTGTGTGTGTGTGTGTGCTCAATGTGAGATTTCAAGTTTAAAAACTATTCTTTATATGTGTACTTGAATATTTATTTTCTTAATATGTGGTCATGGGTGGGTGTTCTTTTAGTTCTCAGAGCACTTCAAATTTTCAAAGTTACATCGAAAGGAGCTAAGTTGTTCTCTGGCAGAACTTTTTAATAGCTGATATGGTTTGGCTCTGTCCCTACCCAAATCTCAACTTGAATTCTATTTCCCAAAATTCCCTTGTTGTGGGAGGGTCCCAGGAGAAGGTAATTGAATCATGGGGCTGGTCTTTCCCATGTTATTCTCATGATAGCAAATAAGTCTCATGAGATCTGATGGGTTTAACAAGAGTTTCTTCTTTTGCTTCTTCCTCATTCTCTCTTGCCATCATCATGTAAAAAGTGGCCTCTTGCCCTCTGCCATGATTGTGAGATCTTCCCCGGTCGCATGGAACTGTAAGTCCAATTAAATCTCTTTCTTTTGTAAATCATCCAGTCTTGTGTATGTCTTTATTAACAGCATGAAAATGAACTAATACAATAGCATCCTAATTGCTCATTCAAATAAAGGCAATTTGTACTTACAAATATAAATGCAAATGCTTGAAGTCACATGGGCATGTTTGAGAAGTCATACATTAGCTGACACAATATTTAAAAAGTCATTTTGGTATTTCAATATCAACTAGTCTAAAGTCAAATCGACCAGATATTAAGAGAGATGAGTATCTGAAGGATAAGACATCTATTGTGGCTTCCTGAAAACAATGACCCAAAAAGCATCATTTGGTTGAGGTCTCTGTGACTAGTTACAAGGAAATTAGACAGCCACTCCCATTTTATGATATTAACAGACAGATCATAATATATATATAATGTATTCATTCATACATACATATTCATATATATATGAATGAGTATATTGTAGTATGATATGAATATATATATGATATATATATATGAATAAATACATCTTGGTTCCTGAACTTGAGGAGCTTCCACTCCATCTTCAGGGATGAAAACAAATTACATCTCACTTGTTGAAAATCCTACAGCCTTATAACACTCTATCTGAGAAAAAGGAGGCTGTTAATGGAAATGTTTGGAAAAAAATGTCTTTTAAGAATATGAACAAAAGCACTGAATGAAACAGACACCAATGCCTAAAAGACTCATCACTTAAGAACTCTCAATTAAAACTCAAAATTAAATTTTGGAAATGATTCAGTATCAAACAGAGGAGATAGAACATAACTGAACCTTTAAGCATAATTATAGGTAAGTAACCAGGGAAAAGTAAGTTATTCAAAGTAAAAGAAAAGCATGGAAATGAGTGTTGCAGGTAGGAATGGGGGAGAATAGGGAATAGATCCTTGTGATCGTACATGAGAGTTGATATTGGAGAATCTTGGAAATGTGTTTGAATAGGTTACGCAGAATTAATCCAAAATCATGGATGGTAAAGTTTCTGTTGTTTCAACAATTAGAAAAACTTGTTGTATTCTGAATTACCAATGATCAAAAAAAGGCTTAAAGGTTTATTTTCATTGTTTCTTTATGTTCTACTCTTCCTTTCTTACTAAAATATACTCTTTCATGAATTTGTGAGTAGTAAAGTTTAACAGCTGTTTTGCAGGGTGGGGTACTGTATTAGTCTGTTCTCACACTACTAAGAAGAAATACACAAGACTGGCTACTTTATAAAGAAAAGAGGTTTAATTGACTCACAGTTCTGCAGGGCTAAGGAGACCTCAAGAAACTTAAAATAATGGCAGAAGGTACCTCTTCACAGGGCAGCAGGAGAGAATAAGTGCCAGCAAGGGAAATGCCAGATGCTTATAAAACCATCAGATTTCATGAGAACTCTCTCAATATCACAAAAATAGCATGGAGGAAACTTTCCCATGATTCACTTACTCCCACTGGGTCCCTCTCCTGACACAGGAGGATTATGGGAACTACAATTCAAGATGAGATTTGGGTGAGGACACAACCAAACCATATCAGGGTTGTCTTTTTTGTATTTGGGATTTCTTTTATTTGTGTTTTTTGTAGTGGTGTTTTGGGTTTAGTTTGGCAGGGTGCATCTAAAATTTTTTATTTTCTCTTTTTTCTTGGATGGTATTTTATCAGATATATTCTAAACTGTGGGAGCTTCCAGTGTCCAGTACAGCATGTAAGGTGCTTGGAATTCATCACCTTCACCAATATAGCAAGTAAAAAAGAAGCTTGTTATATTGGTAGAGGTAATGAATATATATAAAATCAACAACTCTTTTTAGAACCATCAGATAATTAAGGTAACAAAGAAAATCACTGCCTATAAAATTGAGGAGAAAGACAGGCAGATAGAGAAAACCAAAACCTACCAGGGTAGAAACCTCTGCAGAAAGTAGTACCAGTTTAGGAAAACCTAAACTGTAATTAAATTGCTGGAGGCTCAGTGTGGACAAGTTTGAGACTTAAGAATAAGGGGTGCTCAGTCTTAGGGTAGTCCCCACACTTACATGGGTTTTATCTTCAAGAGTCATACTAGGTTCTCAAAATAAAGGTTGGAGAAAAATCCCCTTGTGCTGGAGGAGGGGAGATGCAGCCATTTTGAAATATGCCATGAGTACTCTTCTCTGCCCTGAAGAGAAGGTATTTTACCAGTGAGTTAAAACTATTTTAACTGACCTGGGGAAAGGGAAATACCTAACTCCAGCCTCCTCCAAACTTCCTATCCTACCTAAAGGGGAAAAAACTAAACTAAACTAAAAAGCATCTGTAAAGGTCACAGTCCAGGGGCACAGGTTCACGAAAAGGACTGTAAACCACTTCTCCTCCTCCCTGCTCATCAAAACATTCAGGATTCCCATTAATCATAGGGAAATACAACTGAAAGAACTGTCCATCTAAGGTGTTATCTAAGAAGTCTCTAGGGAAAGGCAAATGCAATAGAGAAGACAAAAATAAAGGTACAAGAGGAAATTTGAGTCTCTGAAACTTATTGTTACAGAAATGTAAACAGTTCACACAATTTAACCTCTAATCAGGTAAAAATATAACCTCATACTAAAGACCTACTTACCACAGTTACTTTTACTTACTACATCATGCTTTCAGCAAAAAATTACCAGGCATACTAAAAGACAAACACAGCTTGAAGAGACATCAGAACTAACTCAAGACATGGCAGAAATGTTGGAATTATCGAAAAGACAAGCAATTTAAAACAACTATTCTAAACTGACATTTGCACATATTATTCCATTGTTTTCTTTCATGTATTGTGGTAGTTTACATTCACTTTCATTATTGTTTCTTTTGTAGGTAATCTGTTCTTTTTCTCTGCAGTAGCCATTAATTTTTCTCTTTGTTTTATTTGCTGTAATTTTTCTGTGACATTTCCAGATATGGATTAATTTATATTGTCAGAACTTGTGCCTCTCAAAATAAAAATGATGTATTTGATCAATTCTGGAAAATTCTAATCCAATGCTCTTTAAATGTTAGATTCTCTCTTTCTAAAATTTATTTTTGACATGTTAGAATTCTTATTCTATCCTAAATATTTATAAACCTCTTCTATTTTTCCATATCATTTTCAACTGAAATGCAATCTACCTAATTTCTTCAAATCAATCTTTCAGTCCATTCTCTCTTAAATTATGTATAATCTGTCTACCTGGTTTTATTTTATAACAATGATTATATTTTATGCCCTTAAAAGTTATTTTTTAAAAATATTTTGCAGATATATTACTTTTAAATAATAGCTTGTTCTTTTCTTCTACTTGGGTATCTAATAATTTATAATACTTTGATTTTATAGTCTTTAATTTAGAGTGATAATCTCAAGTGTTCTGGAGGATGAAGTCTGATATATTCTGCATCTGCCAATTGTCAATTATAATTATAACCTCATGCTTTTTTGTAACTTTTTTGAGGTCATCTTCAACCCGAGTTTTTCTATGTGAATTTTATATAACCTGAACTGGAAAGTCTCCCTCCAAGGTAACTCTATGTTTGTCTATTCCAGGTACTCTGGGGCTAATATTAGCTGAGAGCCAATTTTTATGTCCAATTCAACTGGAGTTTCCTCACCATGCTGGTAAAATAAAATCAGAGTCTAAATAAGACTTCTCTTTTTAACAGACGTCCTAGCCAAAGAATTTTTGTCATTTCTCTGTGTCAGTGAGAAGAATCTTAAAATGTCAGCCTTTAGCTATTAACAGGTATATAATATCTGCTCTTCATCTTCCTCCAAACCAGGACTGTTGTAGCACTGGTTCATGAACTCATTATCTACTGACTGCTTTTTTTTTTTTTTTTTTCGGCATCTAGTAATTTTCCTTTGTTACTTACTGACCACATAATAAATGTTTAAAAGAAATTGTTGTATTTGTCTTATTGTGTTGCAGGGATTACAATAGAGTTGCTGTACTGACTTAGACCCCATCTTTCTAGAGGTACTAAAGTATCTTTTAATTCATATATCAAAATGACTTTAATCCTCTGCCGTATGCAAGAGAACAAACTTTGGAAAATACAGGAAGATACATCTGTGGCTTTTTTTCTGTCTATTCTAAGAAACCAAACTCAAGGACTGGGACCAAACTCACACAGTAGTTTATCCATATATAGGTAAGAGGGTAGATGGACTACAAAAGTGGAAATGGTGCCCCTTGGGCTACGAGGAATCTCAAATACAAATGTTTATCTGAGCTTCATCTCTAAAATGGCAATGACAGTAGGATCTGCCTTTTTAGAGCTATAGCCAGGCATGATATAAAAAATATTAAGTAACCAGTGAATACAGGTACCAGCCACTAAGAACCGGGGGAAGAAATCAGTCTAAGGCATACCACTGCTCATAGGTGAATGCCTTAGTTGAGATATCTAGATAGGAGAAGCAAAGCATTGCCCATTGTGTCTGACACAGAGCTGGCACTCAGTAAGTATGACCCATTATTATTAGCCTATTTTTAAAGCAGAAATTAAACTTGGAGTTACAGAGGAAAGAATTTAGACCTGGAATTAGATGAAATCTAATAAAAGCAAGTTGGAAACAAGAATAGGTAGAGTCATGCATGAATACCTCCAAACACATGACTGAAGTGCTTAGTTCATTTTTATTAATTGGTAGGTAAATGGAGCAAGGGGGTTATATTGGCCCAGAGAACAAAAGTCAGGCCATCAATTCCCAGAACAGATAACTGACTCACTCAATGTCACATAGTAGTTCAAAGACATACGAGAAGAATTTGGGTTTCCTAATTCTTATTCCAGCATATAAAAATCTCCCCATAATATAATAATTATTTATATTTATATTGATTTTTATTTGATAGCTAAACATTTGGGCATGCACCATCTCATTTACTGTAATCAATGAATAAACAAACAAATGCACTAGTTTTCAGAGAAAAAAATTAGCAATACAGCTGGATTTCAAATCAACTTTGGGGTAATCTAAATTTAAAGAATGTGTTGTTTTAAATGCCACAGTTCAAGAACTGGGCACGTTCAATATATACCAATGCAACTATGTTAGATGCAGTGCAGACAGTTGCCATGGTAATCTCCATATGATGGATGGATGGATAGATTAAATTTTTGTTTAAAGCTTCTGAAAACAAAAATACTATACAATGCAAAAATTGCTTGAAATCATATCTCACAAAAGAATCTTTTTCCTAGTAATAGTCAGAACACATCAAAAAGAATTTATATATAGCCATGGATTCATCAAATAAGACTTTGACTTGGTTTTCTGCTTTCATGGAATGGAAAATATGTATCAGAAGGTAGTGATTAAAAGCCTAGACTCTGGAACCCAGAATCCTGGCTCCATTGCCTCTTAGCTTTGGTCCTCAGGCCAAGTTGCTTGACCTCACTATGCCTTTGTTCCATGTAAAAATGGGTATATAACAGAACATGCTCCATAAGGTTACTGTAAGAACTGAATGAGTTGGTGCATGTAAAGGTCTTATAAAAGTGCTTGGCATATAGCACATTCTCAATAAATGCTAGTTCCACTAGTTTATTCCTAACTGTCTCTTGTCACAGCTCCATGTGACTATTAAGAGGTTTTTTAAAAAACATTTTTTTGTTTTCTTTTAATGTTGGCTTTTAGATTGGGGATATAGTTAAGAATGTGGTCATCAGAAAGTAACAAAATATGACCTTTAGTGATAAAAAAAAAAAAAGAAAAAGAGGGTTCTTTTTCTCAGATAAGAAGAATCCCAGAGGAGCTGACTGGTGATATCAATCACAGCTCACCAAAGTCAGAGTCTGTATCTGTGTATCTCTCAACCTGTACTTGGAGCACCTTTAGCTCCACACGTTGAAAACAGGGAGAGGAAGAAAAGAGAAGCATGGCTCCAGAAACATATGTTCTTTTTATTAGGAAAATAAAAATATTCCCAGAAATCCCCAGCAGTCCTCCGCTCCTATCTCATTCGCCAGAACTCTCACTTGGCCACCTCTAGCTACAACAAAGGCTGAAGAAGCTAGTATTTAGCCAGGCATTCTGCCATCTTGTTCAAAATTGGGATTCTGTTGGCAAGTAAGAAGGAGGAATGGATAGCATTTGCCACAGGTGCATGGGGGAATCTTATTGCATCTGATAAAAAGGATTCATTAGGTAATATTCCCTTGAACACTTTGAGAATAAAATGAGCTGTATAATGTCTAAGTAGTTTTAGCTGCCAATTAAAGTACATTTTTTTTGCTTTCCTACTTTCTGAATTTAGTCCGTCTCTACTTGGCACTCTCATTCTTCCTATAATCAATATTTAGAAATTACCATATGTGGGTTAATGTGACTGCCTTGTCATGAAAGGCAATCACTGCTAGGTTGCTGTGGTACCTCTGCAGGTGTATATAAAAGTATCAGGAAGACAAATCTAAAATACTCTCTTACAGTCTCCCATTGCTTTGCTCCAGAAGCCACACACCTACTCTGTCTCTGCAATGTACATAATCAAAAGAATGCAGGTGCTCATCCTGATTGAATTGAGCCTGCTTCCCTCTCAACTACTGCAATTCTCATTCAGGGGAGTCCTACAACGGATGTGATGAAACAGACCTTTCCCTAATTACAGAGATTTGTTGTTGGTGTTAGAGGTTATTTTTTGTATTATTTACAGTATTCTGACCGGTGTTAATATTTCTGTCTGCCAGTGACAATTACATTGCTCTTGACTGGCACAGATCAGCAGTTTGTGATAGCTCTGAAAAGCTGGTGTGCAGCACATGTCACCGGCAGACATATTAATGTTGGTGATGAGTAGTGCATGTGATATAACACGATTAGATGGCACTAAGATAAAGGACCATCTTGAAGCCCATGAATAACCAAGAAGCAGCAAGGTGACGACTATCAATTATTTATTGCCCTTGTCCAGTACATTATTAACAGCTCCAAGAAAGCATACAGGCTTCCTTTCCTGTTCGCTCTCCTTCATGTTAATGCTCAGCTCCTTAGCTTATGCGAGGTTACATCCTAAGGGAGACATTTTGCTTTCAGCTACCATCAGACAATTCAGAGAAAAAAGTGATATGACCTCAAGACGGACTACATTCCACTTTTTTGGCTACAGGCAAAGAGGTGTGGCTCTCTGCTCTCTGTGGGTGAATCCTCTTACCACTTTCACATGCAGAGCTTCTCTTTATTCTCTGTCCCTCAAGTTAGGGTGGATTCCTGATTTAACAATAGTTCACATTTTTGACGAGAAAGCGATGTTCTATGATTAATATTATACATGTACCTGCGGTTAGGCTCTCATTGCCAAGGGAGATGGTTATAGTTGTTTTTTTTTTTTTTACTGATTTTACTGCTGAGGGAGAAGGAGACTATTTTATACCATAGTTTATATTAAGCAGAAAGAAGTTATAAATAGCTACTATTTAGGCTGCTTTCAGCTGCAAGTAATAGGCAATCTGTCTCAAAATGATTTTAAACAATAAGCAAAATTCTCTCACCTATACACACTCAGACATGTTATCAAGCATGCAGAGTCTTTTCACCTCTCTGCACTGCTATCTATCAGGTTAGTTACCTTCAGGGCTCTAAGATCAAATGAGACTTTATTCTTCATCATTTCTGTCCAGCAAACAAGAAAAACCTTCTCAGCAAAGGAGAAAAAGGAACTGCCTTCAGGCTAAGTTCATTTGGGTCATGTGTTCATCACTAAGAGTAAACGTGATCATTAAACTGAATACTTGGTAATAGTTAAGAAAGTTGAATCCAATTTGGAAGGACAAAGGCAAAGGAATTCTTTTTCAAGTTTTAAATAATATGTACTTTTACACATAATCATAATAATGAAACATAAAGGCCACAAATATGTTTCATCTTCATTATAACAAACCTAATTCATTCATGATGTAGTGAGTCTACTTTATTTATAAAAATAACATCAGCAACAGAGAGCACATATCATGTGCGAGGATATATGCTCTAAGAGCTTTGTATGCATTTATCTCATGTTGATACTTACATCAAGCATATTCAGATAAACATACTCAAGTCAGAGACATTCAGTAATTTGTTCACCAAGATCATACGGGCATGAGTTACACAGGTGAAATAAAAACCTTATAGCTTCAAAACCCAAGCCTTTAACAATTTCACTTTGCTTCCTGGTTTCTGGCATTTTTTTAACAATCTAAGTCTAAACCACACTAAGTTTGCTAGTATTTATAAAAAATGAGTAATTTCTAAATTATCTTGCCTACAAGATATGATTAACACCTGAAAATAATTTTAAAAATAGCAGAGTATAACACAGTATTGAACAATGTGGTATAGATTGCCATAGCTTCAGGGGTTTGAAAAAGGAGGAGATCAAAGTGGTCTGATGTAATCAGGACAAGTTTTGAAGGCTGTGAGTCTTGAATTGACTCTTTGAAGAATGGTTAGGTTTTCTTAAGTATAGACAAGAGAGAAAAAGGCATTATGTGATGAGAGAAAAGCACTGAAGAAGACAAAGTTTTGAACTGCAAGGATCATTTCCCTAAAAGCTGGTAGGAAACTTCTAGGAAACAACACTGAAGAACATAGCTGACCCTGGGTTTGGCAATGACATTTTAGACACAATATCAAAAGTACAATACATAAAATTAAAAAACAATAATTAAACTTCATTGAAATTAAAAGCTTGTGCTCTGCAAAAGACACTGTTAACAGAATAAAAGGACAAGCACAAATTGGAAAAAAGTATTTGCAAAAGACATATATATCTGATAAAGCAGTTGCATCCAAAATATACAAAGTACTCTTAAGATCCAACAATAAGAAAACAAACAGCCCAATTTAAAAATAGTCAAAAGATCTGAACAGACACCTCACCAAAGAAGATACACATATGGCAAAAACGCATATGAAAAGATGTTCCATATAGTACATGGTTTGGGAGCTACAAATTAAATGGCTGAAATC